CCCCAAAACCCCAAAACCCCAAAACCCCTTATGGGAATATTGCATAATAATCTGTCATAAATATAAATCAAATTCAAAGTTTTAATTAAATTATCATGGAAATTTTCAAATATTTCAAGTCAAATATATCGTTTATATCTACCATATTGTTGATAGTGATTTATTCTTAGAATACCAATGCTATAGAATTAACTCAATTTGCAAAGAATTGCTACTAATGTGTTTTGAACAGTACTTCAAACGCCTATTGTGCTGGATAAGAAAAGTGTTTTAATAATTTAACTGATTTAACTAATAGAACTTGTACTGTTAAGGCTAATGATCTATAGCATTGTGGCTATCAAAAATTATGCTAAATTAGTAATACCAAAACGAACAACATAGCCATCTCAGAAGCTACCGATGGGAATACGATTTAAGTATAGTATGAGATCTACAATAATAGTCGCTGTATGTTTTTCTTGGTAAATTCCATTTCAAAGTACAATCACTCTGCAAAATATAGGATAATTTAGCTATAAAAAGCAGTAAATAAAACAACTACTAATTAAATCTCAAGAATGCTCTAGACTACAAATACTACAACAAACACAAACTCCTCAAATGCAACAAAGGCTTCTAATAACTCTGTGATAATGAGGCCCTTAAAAGTTTACAATAGTCTCTTGGATTAAGAGCTTAAAATGCCTAGTAATAGCAGCTAGTTTTAAAAACTTGAATTTAACAAGACGTATGATCTTTCGAATGGGAACTTAACTTATTTAGTGATAGTCAATGATGAGCCACTCCAAACACTATATTTTACTATAGAATATTAAGCCTTTGGAGTTCATTTTTCCAGTCTAAGCATATTAATGGGATCCCTCGTAGTGTTTATATCTAATTTTTTGTGAAAATTAATAATTAATTACTCTTAGAGTCAGTTTTCGTTCTTATAATCAATAGAGTAAATTTATATAATAATCAAACAATAATTTAATCAGCTATCAATCAATCTCCATAAATATAATAATGCAGGTAATGTCATCTATAACAGTATCATTTTCTTTCCATTTCTGAGCAGCAGCTCTTACTAGGGCATTTCCAGCTGCCTCTGGAGAATGCTTAACAAAGTAAGGCCAAATAATTTCTGCCACTTGTTCGTTTTCTAAGAATTCCCAAACTCCGTCACTTGCGATGATAATAAATTTGTCGTCTGGAGTCAAATCATATTTTGTAACATCTGGTTCTGGAATTACTCCAATCAAATGAGCTTGATTATCTCCCAGAGATCTGCTCATAGCAAGTCCTGGAGAATCTTCATTCATTAGCCAGACTCTATCTGGGCCAAGATTTTCATTATTCGGTCCTTTGAATGTCTCAACTCTTCCTCCAGCTTGTTTAATTCTTATCATTTCCTCGGGTAAACTTGGCTTATGATCTTAACTGAGTTAGGTAATTTTTATTCCAGATTTAGGTGAATATGAGCACATCATTGCTCTTGAATCACCACAATTAGCCACAAAAATTGTGTTCATGTCGAAAAGGACAGAGCAACAAGTTGAGCCACTATTATATTACAAAATTCAGTTATCTTACCTTAGAAAAACTTCAAATGCTTGCTTAGCTAGCTACTGATGTAATTAATTAAATGTTGCTTTCAAGCATAATGGGGACAATTAATGAAACTCTGATCTATTTTTGTAGAAATTACTTTAGTTAGATCCTTGAATCTTTCCAAATTAATCAAGTAACATATCTAAAAGTTTAATAATATTCATTTTACTTGAGATTTTATCTTTAATGAAAGCGGAGACATGATGACCATTGAGTCCATGACCATCTGACACTGCAAAGAAATGAAGACCCTAAATACCTCCTAGATTTGGAGTAAGAGTAAAACTATCTTGGTTCTATTTATGAGGATTTCCAGGCATGAATCCTACAGTTGTAGCAAACGCAAACTTTGTTATCACATTATATCTTTCTTCTTGATCCTTCTTATCCTATATTTCTCGAGAGTTATTTTTTTCTTAAGACTAAACTCGATCTCTCTGCTCTCTAATTTAGACTCTCTAAATCTATTTATTTGTAATTGGTCTGCTCATCTGCTTAGGGGAGCTAGGTTAGCTAAAGTAAGAAGAAGCTTTTTTATATACAATATTTTTCTCTTGCTCATTGATGATATTTCCGTTACTGGTATTAGGACTGCTTATTTGATTTGATGAAGAATTAAGAGAGTTTTATCTTTATTGGCTGCTGCCATTGTTATTAGGGTTGTTCTAATGATTATTAATAGTTTATGAATTGCTGTTTTAATTATTGATATTTAAATTTGAGTTTTGGTTAGTAATGTTCAAAACACTGTTAGCAGAATTTTAGATCTAAACAAACTTTTTTCCATTATTATCAGGAGAATTATTTGAGTGGAATTAAGGTCTGACGAAGTTGTTGCTGAATTTCCTAATTTATTTGTTTGTAGCAACTGTTTTTGGTGGTTGCAATGGATTTTCATCATCAGCTATCGTTATATCAGTTCTATTCAAAGATTTATTCCCCTTAGATGTTGGTTGTCTAAAGTCATATGATCTTAACATATGACCATTCAGAGTCGCTTTCACAGGCTAACTAGATAATGTTTGATATTACTCTAACATGATCTAATCCTGATGTTGCCCACTAATACTGTTATCTAAAGTATGATTAAGCTTATCTCTTTCAAAGGTTTTAAAGTGGTCTAGAGTTTAAAGCTTCCCACCAAACTTAATATTCCCATCTTTTCCTGGTGTAACTTTGGTAATATTCATTTGCTTAAGAATATTTAGTACTTATGAATTGTTTTGTTACTATGGCTTGGGTTATTAATTAACTTAGTTTGTGTTCATTTAATTGTTGTTCATTTGCTAATTTACATTGCTGGTTGTATTTTATCCAGAATTTATCCCATTTTGGCTATTCAGCTAAAGTGAGTTATTTTAAATGGAAGGAGGTGATGCAGCAATATTAATGTTTTTCCTCTAGTCCTTAATATATTTAGACATTTCCTCCTATTGCATCTCACCAATTACTATTTGACTCGGTTTACTAAGATTGTTTTTCCTGTAATGAGAATTTAAGATAGGATTATTTTGTGAGTTAGGTCTTGTCACAGTCTGATTACTCAATGATTGGCCGTTTTAATTTTGAGTTAATCTTTACTATACTTATTAATGAAAACTTAGTCTATTTTTTCTTGGGGAGACTGGAGTACTTACAGATGTGAGATTATTTTATAATGGATTTTGAAGTTTTTTATTTACCGCTGCAGTATTAGGTCGGATCCCATTTTATGATATATTCGAATCAATTATTCTTGGATTATTTAGACTATCAATACCAAAAAAATCGTTTCCCATTTCATTTTACATTTTTTATTTACTGTTTTTAGGTGAAGGATTATGTGATTCTGGTTTGGCTTTTGTCATCATCCTCTAGTTTAGAACAATTGAATCATTCAGACTGTCTCCTTGATACTCATTTTTTTGTTGTGCAAAACTTAAAGCTTTTGGCTTTCTGAAAGAGCCATTTGGATGAAACTACTGATTTTATTAATTTAGTTGTATTTATTGCTTAATTTGTTTGTTCTGCTCGTACATTTGCTAAATAGCATTAGATTTCATCTAATTTTAGCTGTCATCTCTAGCTTAGGGTGAGTTTTAGAAACTCATTGATTGATACGGTGATTACTATTATGCTCCCATCTAAAATGAGTTATTGGGGTTTACTATTTTTAAAATTGGATGCTTAATTTATTGCTTATTCAAGGAATACTGTCTCCTTTAGTTCTAAGAAATGACCTAAGCTTGGCTAGTATGATCCACTGATAAAGATGGCACGTTTGGCTTGGGCTTGGAAAATTAAAAAGAATTCATAATGTATATTTTAGATAATAATTTTTCTTAAATCCCCTCGTAACATCCAAATATTAAGTCCTGGGGTTTTGGGGTTTTGGGGTTTTGGGG